GGAGATATCAAACTTTTTAATCGAAACCTTTTTCAAACGACCGCTTCCTCCTCATCAAACAAATTTATCTTTTAGAAAAAAGTTACCTAAAGCCAATTCTTCCGTTACAGCCCTTACTCACCGGTACGTACGATAAGAGCCCGAACAAATTGACGGCATCTGAAAAAAATAGAAGAAATCGAGAAATTACTACGCAACGACAATATTCGCATGAAACAGCGATATACAAAACAGGGTAGATAAGATGGCAATAAAACAACACAGATAAAATTAACAAAATCTCTTAGCCGATAACATACAATCAACAAAATCTCACAGCCAGTACCTCCTAACTGATAAGGTACCTCACCATAATCTAAAGAGTGCAAAGTTTGGGGACGAGGTGGTGATGCTCAACACACGCACACGCACATACGAGTGCACACTCACGTAGACAGGCACACGCACACACCCACGTACACACGCATGTACATGTGCACACACACACACACACAAACGCACACATATACACCAATGTAGCAAAACTGTTAAAACGTTGCCAAATGTTCCTATTTGTAGAATAGTTGAGCTGGCTACCGCTCCAGAAAAGAGCAGGGCCAGGATTTCCAGCAAAATTAACTACCAGGCAATGCAGCATTGGTCAAAGCGACTGGAAAAGCGGCCAACCGCATAGCTAGAAAATCATATTGTGAATCAAGCATTCCTAGTAAAATAAATCAAAAACACAAGAAAAAACATCTAGGAATCAGTGGTGCCAATCCCGAAAGGAAGTTTTTTAACATGTATGCCACCGAGTTCGGTTCTCCATTGCTTTGCGATCCCAATCTTCAACTTTTTCCAGATCAAGCCTATCTGATTCTTCCAGTGGAATATTACCCGGAGGTGTAACAAAATAATCTTCTACTGTTTTTGCAGCATTCATGAGCACCTCTTCTTTGGTCAACATATCGTCGACAACATCTTCACGCAGCGGACATGGTACATCTTCCAGCAGAGTTTCGAGTGGCTCAATCCCCTGCAGGAAGATGCTTATTAGATGAATATGCTAAGAAGTTCATATTTGTTGTGCAAACATTACAAGTGCTCTTAGTGTTAATAAGCCTACAGCAAAAACTAATTGCTCAAGAAACAAAAATCTAAGCTCCATTCATTGCCTGGGAAACGCAGACACTTAGAAGTAGCCGAGAAAAACAGTCACCCCCTGGCAAGGCTGAGCGCGATTATTCCCTCTTTCGGGAATTGCCTAGAAGCAAGCTGATGGAGGGATTGTGCTGCACCGTCATATTGAAAGTATAAATTGTAAAAGGCCAACAAGCTCAAAGATTCTAAACTTTCCAGATAACGTTGCGAAAGAAGCCATGGGACTAAGGATCCGAAAGATCTGTACAAATGAGGCCACTATTATGACCGGCAAAGAAAGTAGCGGTCAGTGGCACTCAGCATGCCGATTATTGAGGCAACGAGAATTGTATATGCCGAGTGGACAGGATTTAACAAAAATGGGAACATAAAGCCCGAATTAAGCTAGTTTTCTTCTCTGCTAATAGCTGGATGCGCAGCCAGGTGAAATAAAGCCTAAATTGATTCAAAATTTTGTTTC